TTTGTTTCTCATCCTGAATCAACAGAGCATATACATGATTGACATTGGGTAAAGGAGACATCATCAGAATAGTGCTCCTAACAGCACTATATATGTCGTTCAACCCCATGAGGAATTGGACTAGTCTCTCATCTTGTAGTGACTTAACCATTTTTACCTTTCCTCCACAAGTGCATGTGCATGAGCATGTCACTTTAGTGTATAAAGTATCAAGTTCATCCCATGTCATTTTCAGTTTGGTGAAATAGCCTGCAACATCATTTGAACCTTGAACTAAATCACTAAGTTCCTTTTGCAGGTGGTAGAGTTTGGCACCATTTGATTGTCCAAACCTATCCTCAAGATCAGTCCATAAATCCCTTGCAGACTTAGAGTAAATAACACTCCCAGCAATGTCTTTGGATAGAGAATTAAGAAGCCAAGACGTTACCATGTCATTGCAGCGATTCCATAACTTGAATTCTGCTGCAGCTGAGGTTGGAGAAGGACAACTCCATCAATGAATCCGAGCTTATTCTTTGCCGAGAGGGCAATGAGAATGGATCTCCTCCATCCTCCATAACCTTGGCCATCAAAAGAAGAGGCAACCAAGGTCACACCTGGAGAGTCAGAGGCATGAAGATAATAGGGACTACTAGGATCCACGATTGTGGAGGTCCCAGATCCAGTAGAACCCATTTGAATTAAAAAATAGAAAATTGGAAGGAGCAGCTTAGAGGTGCTCTGATACCATGTAGAAGAGTGAAATAAACGAGAGAGTATTGAACAATTTTCTGCTTTCCTTCATTGAATGTGCACCTATTTATAAAATTTATGAGCTAAGGGAATAAAATAATAATCAATGAATTCTATACAAGTGTCTAACTAGTATTGGCTAAAAGAATAACAAAATAACTACCTAAGGAATCCTATATAACAAACTCACGTGGAAATAGAAGGATCCAGAATGGGATCCAATATTTAAACTCTATCTAATTGACGTGTCTGTATAAATTGAGCAGATGGCCCAATTGTCACTAAATGAGCAGACGGCCCAATTGTCTGATTTGTCTAAGGCCCAAATGTTGAATTAAACATTGAATGTATCAAAAGCCCAGGTATTGAATCAGTAGGCTTTGAATATATCGAACCTTTACCTTTTCCTTCTTCTCCATTAACGTCTTCTTCATCTGCTCCATTAATACCAGAGTTAACAAACCCGCATCGTCCATTTTCTCTTCTTTCGTTTTCAGTGCTAGAGCTATGTCACTAATTTTTCGTACGAGACCATATAAAGGGTACAGAGTTCGGAAGTTATCACATGGCTTTGTAATTCTTTACAAATTTATTTATAACTTTACGTCTTTTATATGAAAGATCTTTATTTTTAAACATAAGAAATATGAAAATAGCACCAAAAAAATCTTTGCAAAGTTTTCTTCTATTCAAATTGTAGATGGCTATGTTCATCCATATCCTTTTACTAAACAAATTTAATTAAGTTATAATATGCATAAGACATCAGAAGATCGACAAATAATGAAGCGGCAAAAATTTTCTCAACATGTAATGTCAAATATGACTAATGAGAATTTCATACAATCGACCCCGATATTTTGGATTTGAGGCGCGACTATTGTTATTGTTGTTATATGTAATACAAAATTACAATACCCCTTGAGTTGACAAACCTGGTTGGGGAAGGAAGTCTTTGATGACTTCGGGGATTTGAGTGTTGGGCAATTTTACTTTCCAATAAACTTCAGGAGATATTGCTGTATGAGTACTTGCCACAAAAGCAAGCTACATATATAAAACAATTAACAATTTTCTATCAGCATCTTCCATGTAAACAATAAGCCTTCCATTTTCAAATACTTCCGATTTTAATTTTGTCAAAGAATACTGTATGAGCATATATGTATTGATTGATAACCAAACATCATTTGTCATAGAGTACTATATGAGCAGATATGTATTGATTGAAGTATCATTGTCGCGACCGGGAATTCCCACCTTCGAGTCTGTGATGGCGCCTAACATTTCACTTGCTAGGCAACCCAACGTTAAAATAATTTATCCATTTTTCATCAGTTTAAATTAAATAATGAGAAAGAACTGAAATAACTGCAATAATCCAAAGTAAAGTGCGGAAGCTAAAACAACCAAAACATCTGGTACAACCCTGGATCCGGTGTCACAAGTGCACGAGCTACTAGAATAGTACAAACAAGGGTATGAAATAAACATAAAGCTGTCTGAAGGAAAATACACAGCTAAATAAAAGGGAAGGGGACTCCAGGAGCTGTGGGCGCTAAGCAGCTGTACCTCAAGTCTCCACAAGCTGGCCAATCCGAGCACGCTAATAACCGCCGCTAGGACCAACTCCAAAATCTACACAAGAAATGCAGAGTGTAGTATGATTACAATCGACCCCATGTACTGTGTAAGTGTCGAGCCTAACCTCGACGAAGTAGTGACAAGGCTAAGGCAGGTCACTTACACTACAACCTGTATGCAGTATATAATAAAACAGGAGAAGGAAATACAGAAAGAAATAAGACAGTAAACTGAAGAAAATAGCTAATCCTCAAAGGAAACCAGTACAGATCAGAATTACCAGTCCTTAGAGTTCCATACAACAAATACCGAGCCAACTCAGTACATAGATATAGAAGCACATAGGTTGTTGCGGTGCGCAACCCGATCCCACCGTACAGCACAATCCTCCCTTATTCCATCGTAATAATGTCACAATCATAAACAATAATTATATATTGCGGCGTGCAACCAGATCCCACCATATAACAACATCAGTGTCATAATTCACCCTTATTTCACCGTATCAATCCACCTTTATTTCATCTGTTGCGACGTGCAACCCGATCCCACCATATCAGTGCAAGGTCACCCTTATCCAACCATATCAATCCATCCTTATTTGACATGTTGCGGCGTGCAACCCGATTCCACCATATCAGTACAAATATTCACTGAGTACAGTTAAATTCATAGTTCAAATCACAAGAACCTCTTGGATTGATGAATATAAAGCTGAATCAGAAAGGAAACCTTATACCAACTCGGAAATTCGAATAGGTGATACTATACGACAAGACAAGTCCAGTAATGACAATTAGAAGGTGCAAGTAATTCAATTAAGGCAATAACACGAGTCATGAAAGCATGAAAAGGTCTAACATGTTTAACAGGAAAAACAATGATTAACAAGGAGCAAATAAATCATGGAGGGCATTTAGAACATATAACAATTAAGGCATGGAAGGAGATAATTAAGGAAAAACAGAAAATCAGGGAAACAAGTAATTCGGCGGCGTATAAGCACTCGTCACCTCGCATATACGCTGCAACACATGAAATCCAAATAGCACATAGTCCGAGGGTTCCTAATTCCTCAAACAAGGTTAAACTCAACACTTACCTCACTTCGCAGTCAACTCAGAGCTCTATCAGGGCCTTTTCCCTAGAATCCGGCTCCAAATCACTCATATCTAACTACAATTGACTCAATAATATCAAATATTGCTAAAGAAATCAATTACAATGCATAAACTTAGAGTTTCCAAAATTTCCCCCAAAAAGTCAAAAATCAACCCCGGGCCCGCTTGGTCAAAAACCCGAAGTTCGGACCAAAACCCGATTACTCATTCACCCCCAAGCCAGGTTATGTAATTTGTTTCGAAATTCGACCTCATTTTGAGGTCTAAATTCCAATTTTACAAAAATCCCTAATTCTGTCCAAACTCCCAATTTCTACCATAAAAATCCTAGATTTTAGGTGAAAATCTTATGAAATATAATGGGTAATTGAAATAAAGTAGGTTAGAATCACTTACCAATAATTTGGGGAAGAAAAATTCTTGGAAAAATCGCCTCCAGGATTTTCTAGTTTGAAAATTTTGAAAGAATGGACAAAATCCCATTTTTGGGATTGTTTTAAACACTAGCTTCAGGTGTTTATCGCGAGAGTACCTTCGTGATCGCGAAGAAGGAAACCAGATGACAGCTGAAGCTATGAAAAATCAGATTTTTTTTTCTAAGTACAAACCACCCGTAGCCTATCCTCACCCGAGCCCTCAGGGCTCCAAACCAACTATGCACACAATTCCAAAAACCTCATACGAACTCGCTCGCGCGATCAAAACACCAAATTAACGCCTAGAACTACAAATCAGACACCAAATCAAATAAAATTTTCAAGAAAACTTAAGAACTTTTATTTTAACAACCGGACGTCTGAATCATGTCAAACCAACTCCGTTTCTCACCAAATTCGACCTCAAGGGGTCTGGATAATGTTTCATTTTACACTTTTCTGTACCCGACTTCAGGAGGTCTTGGTTGTGCCCGGCCTTAAGAGGACTCGGCAATGACGCATAACATATCGCCTCGTATCCGGCCTCATAGAGGACTCGGTTATATCACCTAACACATTATTTCGTGCCCGACCTCCTCGGGTGCTCGGTTAAGTACAATAAATACACATATATGAAAGTACATATATAGATGGCACAGTGATAATCACGAGCTCCATTACTTAAATTCTCTCCAATTTTGCTTTTGATTCTAGCCTAAATCGTTTTAGAAACTTTTATAAAGCTTGAGAGCATTTTGGGGTACTAAACCTAATAATGTTGTATATCCTCAAAAAGGAGAAAGTTCCGCTGCTTTTTTATTCAGTCTAGAAACTTCACCGCCCTGTCCCGGCCACTGCACCCGGTGGGACAGCTGGCACAAATCTGATGAAATGTAATAACCTTTTTGTCCGTTGGCATAGCACCGGCTGATTGGCTGCGCTAAAGGCTAAACTTGTCGATCCTTCAACTTTATGGGTGGATAAAGAATGCGGCCGGGTGTCACAAAATACGTATGATGTTATCAAACATTGATGTTATGTTTTAGAATTTAAGTACAACACCACGGACTCACCGCAGTACTCAAAGATTTACACCTCGAAAACATTTCACAAGGCTAAGGATCAATGATATCTTTGCGGATCATACAAAAAAAATACCATGAAGCTAGGATCATTTCCATTTATTATAAAGACACATTACAGATGAAAGGCAGAGTACCAGAAAGGAAAACGACCACTCTTTATAAAGGGCAAACGAGGATGGCGTAAACGCTTATTCATTAGCTTATTAGGCCTATTTAGAAGGGACAAAGACGATTTGATCATCTTGAAGAAAATGACAGATTGGTGTAGTTCCAGGCTTAACCTTGAGAAATACAAAAGGGAATGCCTTTGGGTTCCAAAAAGATGTATCTTTGTGGCACACTGACAGTGCTTTCACTTTTGTTCCATCATCACCAATCATAGATACCATAAATGTTTTGGTGCTTCCTCCAACATGACAATAATGCAGTGCATATGCATAGTTAAGCTTGTGGCATACCATGTTATCCCCATCAGCTATTTGTTCAACCTCTTCAATGGTGTATCTTTGCGATTTCTGAGTTTCCCCTTGTACCTCTGATGTAATTGCAAGGATATCGGTTGTCCCGAGCATGGATAAGCTGAAATCTACCATAGACTCCAAAGAAGTTGCACATATTTTCTTTTCTTTATGTTCTACTTCTGGCTCTTCACAAAGTTTGATTGTTTTCTCAATTGTTTGAGCATCCTTTGATCCACTATCTATCGAAAAATGGTTGAGAATTTCTGAGATTTTCTCCATCGAGAAGGGAATTGATTCCACAAATTGCCGAGGCAAAAAGGGTGCTTCATTTTTATTTAGGAGAGAGGGAAAGCTGATCACTTTTCCTTTCTCCAAGTCCTTTTCTAATAAGAAGTACTGTTTCAAAGGATGATCATCAGTTACTTGTCGGAGCTCATTCTTGTTAGTATCACAATTCATGCTAGGGTTTTCCTTTTTTAGCACACGACGATCATAATTCGTAGCAGCTTTCTCTTTAGTGTTAGTGTTGTATTGTTCCAGCTCACGAAGATATTCCTCTGTAGCAGCATGATGCCAGCTAATGGCTATATATCCACTTAAACCGTAGTATACTTTCTTCTGAATGTTACTGTTATCTTGTTTTAGCTCAGGAAGAACATCATCTGTACAATCACGATACCAAAAAGTTGAATAATGGCAAAATTAAGTGGTTTCAATGATTCTGTTTCAAGAAAAGAAGTTTTCTTCGATCCTGTCGGGGAAGAATGTGGAAATTTCATTTCATTCACTTAATTTGTTTTTCTTTTGACATTCTTTAATTAGCATAGAGATAGTACAAAGACTGAAGAATATATGATAAACATATAATTATATTGATAAGTTCAAACTATATCCATATATACCCATTTTTCCAGTACATTATTGTTTTTATTACTGTTTGCACTTGACAAAAAACAAAGCTGTTTTCAAAATTCATTCTACCTTTTTCAGTTTTATTGTGTGTTAGACAACAAAGAATATACTTAGGCTGGTATTGTTTGCTTCAAAACTCTGTACATCAATTGCTTTCATAGCACTTTATAAATTTACTTTTAGTTTTGTTTTTTTTACGGGATATATTTATTTTACACATAAGAAACATGAAATTAATTAAAACACAAGCGATCTTTGCATGGTCATTTTCTTTTATTCAAATTATAAAGGAGTATGTTCACCAATTTTCCTCATTGTGGTATGTTTGCCTTTCTGGGAATACAGTAATATTCCGAATTCGTCAATTGGTTTTGTAGCTCGATCTTTATATAATTATTTGGAGCAGTACGTCCTTTTGTATAAAATATTTTTATTTTTATACATAAGAGATATGAAAATAACACAAAAGATCTTTTCAGGAAGCAAAAATTTTCTTCTTCTATTCAAATTTAAATGGCTATGCTCACCCATCTCCTCTTAATAAAAGAATATAATTAAGTCACAATATGCACAAAGACATGTGAAGACAAATAAAGACGGGATCGATAAAAAATTTCTCAACATATAATGTAAAATATGGCTTATGAGAATTTTTATAACCGACACCAATATTGTGGCACGATTTTCATTGTTGTTGTTGTCGTTATATGTAACGTAAAATAATACCCCTCGAGTTGAAGACAAACCTGGTTGGGGAAGGAAATCTTTGATGACTTTGGGGATTTGAGTGTTGGGCAATTTCACTTTCCAATAAACCTCCGGAGATATCGCTGCATGAGTACTTGCCAAAAAAGCAAGCTACATATATAAAACAATAAACATTTGTTTCTATCAGTATCTTGTTGGTAATCAATCAGAGAAGTAAAGAAATGTTAGTTCAATAAAACAAGACATAAAATAATTTTCGAGCCCACAAGTTACTTATGTGTCCTTAAGAAATTTAATTCCCTCACTGTTGCCCAAGGTTATGGATTACTTCCTTCCAAGATAGAACGAAAACACTATTCTGTAATACTGACAATCGAAATTACAGAACTTCAGCGAACTCAACAAACGGAGCAAATCACACTTGACACTTATCTTATTTTGGAAAAATATTGCAACAATATAGAAAAGAGAGGAAAAGTTTTCAGATTTTCCATGTATGAAAAATGAGGCCAAGCCTCTAAATTTATAGACGATGAAAGGATAAGATAAAGAGGTGCAATCCAAGAGGTGTCTATTCCATTTCTTATTTCCACCCTTTAGAAAAAACCCAACATATCCTCCATGTAAACAATAAGCCTTCTTTTTTTCAAATACTTATGATTTAATCTGTCATTGAGTACTATATGAGCATATAAGTATTGATTGAAGTATCATACGAAAATTATATACCTTCTCCAGTATATATATTCTTTTAAAATCAGTATGTATATGTACTGTTTTCAGAATGAAATGATAACTAGGCAAGGATAAAACTTAAATAAATTGTGAAAAGATAAACCATATAAAAATGCTACTCACCAAGAAGATGGTGCGCAGCTGCAACTTCATTGCTACGATAGATATTGTAGAAATAGCTAAAGGACTGAAAGCAAAACTTGGATGGAAGTAGAACAGAAACTGCCCTTATTTATAGGCAATAAATGCACTACGTACTCACTTAGTGCAAACATAAATTAATGTCGTGGATTGCTTATAAATTACGTGGGATGCTGACGATAAACAGATCTCGATGAATGAAGTAATCAAGGATTATGATATTTCATATTATCTATTGTTGCCAACTAGAGTACTAATTTTGAAGAAAAAAAAAATATCTATTACAGTTTTTCCGAATTTTCCGGTTCTTCTAAACTTTTCTAGTATCTATATCTATATCTATATCTATAATATCATCAGTGTTAAATTTCGCTGAAAGTTTCAGGTCAAGCACTAATTAATCTCCAGTGCGTTAACTCCGAAGCCCATTACAAAAGTTCAGTTAACACTGAACGATGAATTTTCAGAATCTTATGCTTTTATAGCCCGACTCCTAAGATTGAAAGGAAATAGTCTATAGAAGGATTAAATAGTCATGCCTTAATGTAAAGTAATCAAGAAAAGCGTGCTTCTTAGCTAACTATTTATCATGTTCGATGACAGAAAAAGGTTGGACAACCTGAAGACTATGGATCAGAAGGAAAATAATGTTAATGCTTCAAATTAAATAAGGCTGGTGAGAATATATCCTTTGCTTCAAATTAAATAATGTGTGCTCGCTTCATCTGTATTCTTGCCTCTTTGGGGCCAGATATGTGATTGTATTTATTAATGGAGACTTAATTTTAGTATTTCTAAAATTTGATTTTCATTTGAGTTACTTCATATACTTGGTAAAGTTTTGTATGCATGTACCCTCTTTTGACACAGCGAGAGTTTGGCGTCGTATCCAGTGCTGCTATTGACAAGAATGTGAAAGAACTCGATATCCACGTGATTAAACAATTTAATATTAAAGGAGATGGTTTGTATAGAAGAATAATTTTCTGCTCATGATCGGAAAAGTTTAACTAATTTTTATATATGATAAAGTGGAATGTCTTACAAGTTTAATGGCTTTCGCTAATAATTATAATGGTTTGTAATTTCTTGAGATGATTAGTCGAGAAAAAGAACTCGTTTCCTACTGATGGAGAAGTTGCTCGCGATATTTCATAACCCAAAGACAACTTATCTGAAATACTTTTTAAAATGAGAATACCTCTGATAACTTCTTTTATTCGCATTTCACAGGAAACATTGTAATCTAAATAACTATATTCATCAAGGTATTCGCATGGCATATTTGCATGTTTCTCTTTAAAAAAAAAAAGTAATGTGAGGTATTGCCATTGGTTTACTGAAGGATAATTCCTTATATATTAACAATAGGGGCTATGGTGATGATAAGAAAAAAGAAAAAGAAAACAAAACGTTAGTATGGCAAGGTCTAAAAGAAGTTCTCATATATATGGCCAATGCTTTTCTCGTGAATAGTATCGTGGAAGTTAATTTCCATTAGAACAGTTGTATACACACAGAAGGGCGCAACTTCAGCCTTTCATGTTTGATATATCTTGTTTAATTTTTGGAGACCC